TCCCTTATTTTGCGTAAGCATCCACATATCAGAGAGAACATTAGGCCTTTGGTTTTGGGGGACTGACTTATTCACTTAGCATGATAGTCTCCAGTTCCATCCATTTACTGGCAAATGCCATAATTTTACTAGCTCCTCATTTTAATGCCATCGTCCATGAATATTTTCCAATTAGCTTTTGCCTCAATACTAATAGATTTACATGCATACCCTATTTAGCTCTCAAAGAAAACAAACATACCAGACACATTCCCTTCTTAAGTGTTAACATCACTTTTCTCTAATTCCTAGAGTGTTTAATTTTGAAGTATGCTTAATTCTGTTCTTCATGGTACATTCCATACCAATCTTTTATTTAGACCTCTAATTCTTTGCCCAATATTTTTCTAGTCTCTTTATTTTCACTGGGACTACAAGGTCTTTAGCTGTCTTACTTTCAACAATGAAGGAGAAYTCATTTACTCATTAGTATACTCATTTTGTTTTGTTATGTTTCACAAATTATGTAAGATAACTCTGAACACATATTGTATATCATGAATTAGACAAAGACTGAACATAACAAAGCACAGATGAATAATACATCAATAAGATTCTTGCCCTTAAGGACATACAATGATATTTATGTTATTAAAATGTCTAAATAGCTGGTTTCCTTGCTCCCAACCTCCTCTCACTGTAATCTGTCTTAAATATGTTCCTAAAATATTTTTTATCATATTTACTATCAACTCTTCCCACTTAATCCCAACAATGACTATCATATTAAATCCAGGAGGGCTATGTTATAATAATAAAGCATGTTATTATGAGCAAAGTCTGAGAAAATATAATAATGTGATTTCTGATAATTAAGAATAAAAGTATGTTTTATACTGTTGACAAAACCTAGAATTCTATATTTTCAAATTTTATGTACACTGGAGAAAAGAATAGAGAAAAAAATCCAGAATAGGGAATAAATTTCAGAAGATATTCCAAATTAGGATAAAGAACCAAAGAGATGGGCTGGGGGTATAGCTCAGTGGTAGAGTGCTTGACTAGCACATGTGAGGCATTGGGTTAGATTCACAGCGACACATAACATAAAATAAATAACATAAAGGTATTGTGTCTAATACTAAAACAAAAAACAAAACAAAACAAACAACAACAACAACAAAAACCCCAAAACCAACCAAACAAAAAGAACCAAAGAGATGACTGAAAGGAGAATATATAAAAAGTAGCTTTGAAAAAGATCAAACTCGGTGTCCTATTATTATTTTTTTTTACTACTTCAAACAATAAGAACTTGTAAATATTCTACTACTGTTTCATTTGCTATTTGAGGTTCAACACACAGAAGAAAAAATATGAACAGTAGCATATTTTATAAAAATTCTATGAAGCAAATAGGAACAAAATTACCCAAGTATGTACTGATGGCATTCTATTCCAGCAAGGCTGGGGTCCTCACAAAGGTTTCCGATTTGGGGCATACTATGTCATTCACTGCTAATCACTGGCTTCTCAAACAATGCTGGCTGGTCTAGGTGAAGACTTTAATGTTCCTTGATTCTCTAGGCAAGAGTATCATGTGCCAAGTGTGGTCAACATCAGATTATTTGATATGCCTTGTAAAAAATTTAAATGTAAGAATAAAAATCTAACATTCCATGTTGATTTACTGACAATCAAAAAGAAATATGTTTGTCTGAATTTATGAAATGAAGGATAATGGTGCTCTACTTTTAGAGTACTACATAAGAGACCAACTCATAAATTTGTAAAAATTATAAAAATTCTGAGGGCTGGAGTTGTGGCTCAGAGGTAGAGCGCTCACCTAGCATGTGTGAGGCCCTGGATTCGATCCTCAGCACCATATAAAAATGAAATAAAGGTGTTGTGTCCACCTACAACTAAAATGAAAAATAAATATTTCAAAAAATTGTAAAATTCTGAAAGTCAGTTATAATAGAGGAATATAGTACTGACATACTAGAATACATAGGGATCCTGAAAATACACTAAGTCAAAGAAGCCAGATGTAAGGGGCCACATATTGTATGACTCTAGATGAAATATCCAGAATAAGCAATCTACAGAGACAGAAAGTAGACTAGCAGTTGCCAGAGGCTCGAGGGGAGGGTGTATGATGCTTAATGGGAATAGGGTTAACAATCAGGGAAATGAAATTGTTTGGAACTAGACTGAGGCGGTAGTTGTAAAACATTGTGAATGTACTAAATATGATCAATGCTAAATTTTATGTTGAGTAATTCACAATAAAAAAACATTTAAGACATACATCACTGGGTTCGATTCTCAGCACCACATACAAATAAACAAAATGAAGGTCCACATATCTACATCTTCCCTTGTCTTAAAAGTTTTCATTTTCTTGAGTTGAAGAAAAAATGTTCTCAAAGCAAAGATATGAAAGAAAAGATTTCAAATTTAGGGGGAACCTCAAATATTTGCTAATTTATTGATCAAGTTAAGTGATAATTTTGTACAAAAAAATGACAGGCTAGGAAAAAGGCTCTTCCCTGTAATTACAAAAGCTTTCATCCACACATTTAGAACTTACTTAACTTATTTTGAAATTTCAAATGATGAAACACCAAGAGTATATTTACACTTATCCCAATGGGACATGGGCTAAAAAAGGTTGAGAGCCAGTTTAGAAGTATATAGCCTTGTTGTTCTCGTCTACTTTAACTTAAAAAAACAAACTAATTAAAAATTCAACTCCAGAAAATTTTTATACATGATCCTACAATAGACCTGATTTTTTTTTTTTCTGTACTATGGGCCATAGTATTTACTCTTGAAAGTGTTCAGTTTATACTTAATTACTTGCATCTACTGATTGTTTTAAATAATCCTTTCTAGGATGTAGTCATACTTTCCCACTCAACTAGATTAAAGACCTGTTTTGTTCAAATTCAATCCCCCTTTGAGGCAGATCCTGAAAGGTAAAATGGAGCTAGATAGCAAATATTTCAATACCCTATTTATTTATTTTTTTAAATTAAACCCACTAAATATCAAAGCAAGAGGAGAGAAGCAGAAAGGGTATTTAAGTATCACTATTCATATTTAAAGGATGCAAACTTTTTGTCATTCATCTTTCTTTGACTTGATCTAAAAAGATTAAAAAATAGCATATACAACAAACAATACCCTATGGAACAAAAGCAGTTTGTTAATTCTCTATTGAAAGACAATTACCACAAAGTTGCACTATTTCAAATAGTGCTGCAATGAAATCCTTATTTTTGTCTCCCATGTCCTTCTGTGAGAGTTTCTGTGTAAAATACATGCCTAAAAGTAGAAATAATGGGTCATAACAGTTGCATATCTTTAACTTTATTATTTTTGAATTTCTTCTTAAAACTTATGGGTATAAAAATTATCTACGATGGATGATAAGCTGACTTTTTTCATACTATTTATCATTTGAGTTTTAACAGAGAAGCTCTCAAAATTCAGCTTGCATCACAATCATGTGGTGAGCTAGATAAAATAAGGATTGCGGGGCCCTACCTCCTGATATTCTCATTCAGTAGATCTGAAGAGAGAGCATGAGAACGTGAATTTCTTTCTTTCTTCTTTTTTTTTAGTATGCTGTCATTTTAATTTTAATAAAATAGATAATTTCATATTACATAGAGAGCAAGTCCATCCACTCATTGTTGATAAAATTTTAGAAATATTTTCTATAAAAAGTTTAGTATTTGGTTGGGAATTAGTCCATTATAACATAACTTCTACAGGTACAGAGTTCCCATCCTCACTCCCATTCTTATTAACTTTGAGAAATTTTAAAAATACAGAAAAGTACAAAAAATAAGACAAGATATCCATACACCACAATCCAGAATTAGTCAGTATCTTCATATATTTACTTGCAGTCTTCAAGAGAAATGGATGTTTATATATAAAAAGCTGAAGCCCCCTCCCCACCCTACCTCCCATACTTATTCCCTACCCCTCTCACTCTTCACAGGCTACCACTATCAAAAGTTCAGCCTGTATTTCTCCATTTCAAAAACGTTAACATACACGGATGTATTCATTACCAATATAAAGTACTAAATTTCATGAAGTTTTAATTCAAATTTACAAAGTCACTATATGTATCATCCTGCAACTTCTTTTTCCCCCTCAAGGCAATTTTTTTAGATCCTTCTGTTAATAACATGTGGATCTCATATTTGCATTTTGCAGATGCATAGTGTCACATCATAAGAACTTCTTTTTGTTCCTGATGAACAATTAAGTTGTTTCCAATATTTGGCTACAAATCAAGCCACAGTAAATTTCCTGGTATCTCCTGAGCATATACACTCACAAGTAAAACTGCTAAATATTTTTAAATTTGTTAAGAAGAAGGAAAGTTTCCCYACTCCAAAGGTCACAGCCACTTTAGTGCATGGCTTTTGTATCTTTCAGTCTTCAATTCCCATGAATTTTGCTTGTTTGTTCATGGTCTATTTTCTTTTCCCTTCAGAGAACAAATTACCTCCAAATAATTTTTTTAAATAGTCCCATATTTTCTCATCTGATGTATTTCTTTAATATTGCAAGTTCTACTAAATGCATAGGTCTCTTTCTAGAATCTCTTTCCCTCTGCTGAAGCAATACCAGAGTTTTATTACTTATAGATAATCATAGCATCTGTTTTTGTCTCTTCCTTTCTAACACAACTTATTACACAGGTGAAGAACTTCACATCTATATTGATGTGAAAACAGGCCTGTTTTCTGTTCCAATTTTAATGGAAACGTCTATTGTTTCAGCATTACCTTTACCACTGACTGTGGAGTATTTTTTTTTATTGGCAGTCTGTTTATCATACAAATGTCTTCCTCTTCAATATGAATTTTCAGTGTCCTCAAAGTTGTTAAAAAAATTTGTGTAAGTTCCCTTCATTTGTGGTACACTGCCTCAGAATGACTTTATGATATATAAATTTTTAATGTGTTCCCATCTTGAAGATATTCATAGGGTTTTTAATGAGTATGAATTTTCTGATGTCTAATATGGTGTGATTTCTGGATGAAAGCTTTCCCACATTCACTGCACTGGTAAGGTTTCTTACCTGTATGTATTCTCAAATGCAGAGCTAGGGTTGAGAATTGAGAGAAAGCTTTTCCACATTCATTACATCCGTAGGGTTTCTCACCTGTATGGCTTCTTACATGTACAGTGAAAGATGAACTCTGAGAGAAGGCTTTTCCACATACATTGCATTCATAAGGTTTATCACCTGAATGAATTCTCACATGCACAATCAGTGATGTTCGTTGAGAGAAGGCTTTTCCACATTCATTACATTCATAGGGTTTCTCTCCAGTGTGAATGTTTTGATGCTTTATGAGGTACTTCTTCTGGCCAAAAGCTGTTCCACACTCATTACATTTAAAGGGTTTCTCTCCAATATGAATTTTCTCATGCTCAGTAAGATTTGAT